GTACGACCCCCCCCCCCCCACCTACGAGTGAGTCTCGGTACGATCCTCCCTCTCCCCAACACCTACCTACCACTTTCCTACAAGTTCCCAGCTTCCTACCAGTTTTTTCAAAATCCCACATTTTCCAGTTTTTCACCCAAAGATTTGCCGTCGAGCGCGGGAAGTATATAGCCAATGTGTAGCCAATGTGAAACGGGAAAAACCGCAAAAGTCAACAACCGGGAAACCCCCCGGTTGTTGACTTTCGCGGTTGGTTTCCAACGCGGCAAATTTCTCTCAAAGGCATATACCACTCCCCTGGTGCTTTCCAACACCCACTAATCCTTCTGATCCTGTTTATTTCTGCAAAACATCACCATATTTCCTTGAATCGGCCAAACATGATTGAATTTCCTCTAACCAAGGGCACCAGGGAAACACATTCTGAAGCATTGTATGGTACTTTTAGAGTGACGTTCCGCTTACTTCCTTACTATTTCATTTGAAGATGCTGCGTGCTCCAGGTCCGCCAGCCCTCAAGGAAGCCTACCAGGATATGTAGGTGTATGCCTTCAGACGAAAATGCCAGTGTTCGTGGGTATGCCAAGATAAGCACGCCGAGTGGCGAAGAAAATGTAGCCGCTCAGGGTTAAAACACATTGGTAGCCTAGAAAAACAACTATTACAAAGCTGAAGGCTGGTACAGAAGCTTCCGTTCATAACTCAACATTTTGGCGATAACCTTCGCATTGTGAACTATGGCGATAAAAGCGACACTATCATAGTGAACCAAGCCTATTAATAGTCCTTGTTTTGATTAGGCCCTTTTGACCGATCAAGGGCGAAATCACCTTTCAGATGATTGGTGAATCGAAGGTCACCGTGGGTCCAACAATGGTGAGTACACATCTGCTTTATTTCCTCCCAACAGTTCTACAGCAAGGTATACAGGCTATGAGCATCGGTGGATAGAGAAGAAACCCTTCTTTATCCAGCACTCAACAAATTAAGTAAATCACCAAAGGTGAAATGAATTTACGCATGTTGATGGCACCAGCAAGGCCCCTACATACTGTCGGTTCGGCTGCAGACGCAGGGGGCGTCATGGGGCCTTGATTACGGGTGCACTCAGCCCGTTCTCCACCTTCTGGTAAAACGTGCGAGCGGCAGTTCGTAGAAAACGAGCTGCCGCCGCGCCAAACATAACCTTTTCCCCACGGAAATTTCTAGAACCGGTTACGCATTTCAAATGCCTATGAGCTCACGAACAACTTTGCTAACGGAAGCGCTTTTATTTCATAGCCATAAAAAATTTATCTGATCGTCTTTAATGAAAAGGGGTACAATCTAACTCTTCATGATATGGGCCACGCACTCTGCCGCCCCTCGCAATCTCAGCGGCATTTTACGATTTCACCATACAACGACTTCCGATGGCCTACTAATGTAAAAGTCAGTGCTTTGATCATTTCAGATGTGTCTGGCTACAAACTATCTGCCTCGTGAGAATGGAAGGCTGACTGGTCCCAACTGGATGACCTTCCGACAGTGACAGGAGTCGAGAGCATAGTAAGCGGCACCACTTGCCACTATGGCACCTCCACCCGGTCACTCAAAGTTCCTACAAGGACCAACGGTCACAGGTTCATACTAGAAGTCATTTGCTATATAATGCTGCTGCTCTTCTCAATTATTGAGCACGCATGCTTTGAAATTTAAAATGAAAGGACTCTCAAT